TCATAGTCAACAGATTTTCTCAGAAGAAATTGCTAATGAAAGTTCTTCAGACAGAAGGGAAGGAAAATCAAATAGAAACTTAGAACATCAGGAATAAAGGAAGAGCAATAAAAATGGTCAATATTTAGATAACTATAATAGGCTGTTCTCTAATTCAAGAGAATTAGAATATGTTTAATTTGTTGTTGTTCAGTCACTAAGTTGTGTCCAACTCTTTGCAACCCCATGGACTGCACCACACCAGGCTCCTATGTCCTCAACTATCTCCTGGGGTTTGCTCAAACTCTTGTGCATTGATTCAGTGATGCCATCCAACCATTTCATCCTCTGTCCCCATTTTCGGTCTTTCCCAGCATCAGAGTTTTTTCCAAACAGTCAGCTCTTCACATCAGATAGCCAAAGTATTGTAGCTTCAACTTCAGTGTCCGTCCTTCCAGTGAATATTCAGGGTTGATTTCCTTTAGGATTGACTGTTTTGATCTCCTTGCAGTCCAAGGGATTCTCAAGAGTCTTCTCAGACAACACAGTTCACAAGCATAAATTCTTCGGTGCTTAGCCGTTATGGTCCAACTCTCACATCTGTTCATGACTAATGGAAAAACCATAATTTTAACTCTATGGATCTTTGTAAGTAAAGTATTGTCTCTGCTTTTTAATATACTGTCTAGGTTTTCATAGCTTTCCTTCCAAGGAGCAAGTGTCTTTTAATTTCATGACTGCAGTCACCATCTGCAGTGATTTTGGAGCCCAAGAAAATAAAATCTATCACTGTTTCCACTCTTTACCCCTTCTGTTGAATTATGAAGAGAGAAAACAGAAAAAAGAAAAAAGCGAACAATTGGAAAAGCAGTGGTAAAATGGCAGACCTAAATCTAAACATATCACATTAAATGTAAATGGTCTCCATGTCCTGGCCGTCAGCAGACGAATGGATAAGAAAGCTGTGGTACATATGCACAATGGAATATTACTCAGCCATTAAAAAGAATACATTTGAATCAGTTCTAATGAGATGGATGAAACTGGAGCCCATTATATAGAGTGAAGTAAGCCAGAAAGATAAAGACCAATACAGTATACTAACGCATATATATGGAATTTAAAAAGATGGTAATGATAACCCTATATGCAAGACAGAAAAAGAGACACAGATGTATAGAACAGACTTTTGGACTCTTCTATGGGAGAAGGCGAGGGTGGGATGATCTGAGAGAACGGCATCGAAACATGTATATTATCAAGTGTGAAACAGATCGCCAGTCCAGGTTGGATGCATGAGACAAGTGCTTGGGGCTGTTGCACCAGGATGACCCAGAGGGATGGGATGGGGAGGGAGGTGGGAAGGGGGTTCAGGATGGGGAACACATGTAAATCCATGGCTGATTCATGTCAATGTATGGCAAAATCCAGTATAATATTATAAAGTAATTAGCCTCCAACTAGTAAAAATAAATGGAAAAAAAGTGTAAATGGTCTCAACACACCAACTAAAGGAACATGGCTTTTGAAGTTGGGCAAACCTGGTGTAAATTCATTCTTGGCTGCTTATACTTACCTGGCTTGTGTAAGAACACTTGCTTCTTTGAGCATCAGTTTCCTCATTTGTAAAATAAGTATAAAAGTCATATGGCCTCATAGGGCTGTTACAAAGATGAAATAAGGTAATATATATAAAGAATTCTGCACATCTATCTGTTTAAAAAGTAGAGGAGATGCATATTTGCTCATATATGCAAAGTATCTTTGGAAGGACATACAAGAAGCTGGTGTTAGTAGTTGTCTATGGGAAGATCTGGTAGGCTGGAGGATAGGGCTAAGAGGGAGAATTTTTTTTTTAACTTGTACAGGTCCAGAATCCTTTATCTACAACTCTGAAATCAAAAGAGCACTGAAAAAAAGTTTTTTGGTTTTTTTTTTTCCATAATATTGGCACCAAACCTTTTTTGGTAGCAAAATGTGACCTGAAGTGGCATGAAGCTCCTAAAGTGGCATAGAATTCATTTTATGTGAATTCTCATTCATTTTGCAGAAATACTAGGGTTTTGTTTACAGGGTGCTACACAGTAATATGTTTGGTATACTCATATTTCTAAAATATGAAAAATTCTGAATTCCAAAACACATTCAGCACAAGATTATGGATCTATGTAGCCTTTGAATTTTTAATTCAATCTGTGTATTGTCTTGAATTTTGAAACTGGTGAAGGCATTACCTATTCACAAAATTAAATTTTAAAACTAAATTTAGCATGGTGCCTGACACAAAGCATGCTCTCAGTAAATATCGGCAGCTGCTGTTATTCCATTCTTCCAGGCTTTTCCTGTCAACAAATCTGTTCATGTCCAATAGTACGTTTCACCATCACAGCAGACCCTGTGACTGTTACTGCTTAGATTTTACATTTTTAAAGACTGAGGTACAAAGATTTTGTGATAGATGCCTGCCATCCAGCCAGGCAGCCCCCCACCTAGAGTCCCAAGGTTTTTTTTCTGTTCACCAGACCACCTCAGCCAGAATGGCGTCAGCAGGATTTGTGTGCCCAAGAGAGCCAAGTTGTTTTTTATCTAAGAGCAAAGGAGAGAATGAGGAAATTATGTGTGGTCAGGATCACCCCCAAACCCCGTTAGACAGTCCAGTGGGCCCAGCCAGGCAGATGTGCCTATAGCATCTAGTGTATGAGCATTCTCCTTCAGGGGCTTCCCAGGTGGCTGAGCTTTAAGAACCTGCCTGCCAGTGCAAAAGATGTAAGAGACGTGGGTTCAGTCCCTGGATCAGGAAGATCCCCTAGAAGAGGGCATGCAACCGACTCCAGTATTCCTGCCTGGAGAATCCAAGGACAGAGGAGCCTGGCAAGGCTATAGCCCGTAGGTTGCAAAGAGTCAGATGTGACTGAGGTGACTTAGCATGCTCACACTCTCCTTCAGTTGACTACCAGATGAAGTTTTAGGGACTTGATTCTAGAGACGGTACAGAAGTTAACTTCTTTCTTTAAGCCTGAGGGCCTCATTCGGCACATTCAGGACTGAGACTGTTTTACAGCGGGTTCTGGGGGTGTGTTTGTGTGCATGAGGAGCTCGCAGAGGGTGCGTGTGTTGGCTGGCCTGTGTGGCGCACGAGCCCTGAGGGATGCGCCGTGACCATCTGAAGGACCCACGCTGTTGGGGCGGGCCTGGCACTGCCTCTCTTACTCTCTTCTTTATTTCTCCTCTCCTCCTCGCACCCTGTGGCCTAGGGGAGGAAAATAGAGACGGCTCCATGTTTCAGGAGCCATCAAGGCTCTGGTCTCCAAGTCATTGTTAGAGCTGGTTCTGTTGCTGCTCCGTACGGGGGCAGTTTGTGGCGATAGATAAAATGCTTCCTGCCCTCCGCACCGCCTGGTCTGTCCAGTGAGGCAAGTTGTTGGGAGGCCACCAGAAAGTTTGACTGCCAGCTCCATGAACCATGGCTTGGAAACAGTAACCTCGATCAGAAAAAATTGCTTCCCTTGGAAACCATGTCCACCTAACCAAAGTGTCTTTTCCAGCTCATTGGTAGAACTGACTGCAGAAGCACCTACTTCTGGATTTTTTCCCAGTTCTTTAATTAATGGCTTCCTGCCTATAAGCTTCGATTAACTACTATTTACAGAGCTTTTCTGAGGTCTGCCATGCCCCAGAACTGTCAGGTTTGTATTGCTTGCCAGGGCTCCAAGTAGATTGAAAAGCACACTTTTGCAAATACCAAATCTTTTTTGTTTCATTATATCCATAGCCAGATCCTTTGTAGAAAAAGTAGGAAAGTATAAAGAAGAAATGTCACCCAGGTATAATTGTAACTGTTTTTATTTTCAGTTATACTTCTTTCTAGTTTTATTTATACGCACACACATAAACACATTTTAAACATTCTAAGAACATTTGTTTCCATGGCTGCATTACCATGATTAACTGGTCCCCATTTGTGACCAATCCAGTTCCCTTGGTTAAAGTCTTTATGATGATATTTGAATTTCTTTAAGATGATTTGTTGTTGTTTAGTCACTAAGTCATGTGTGACACTTTTGTGACCCCATGGCCTGTAGCCCACCAGGCTCCTCGGTCCTGGGATTTCTCAGACAAGAATACTGGAGTGTTAAAAAATAAATGGGAAAAAAAAAAAAAAGAATACTGGAGTGGGTTGCCATTTCCTTCTCCAGGGGATCCTCCACATCCTCCTACATTGGCAGCAGATTCTTGACTATTGAGCCACATGGAAGCCCTTATGATGGATACCTAGGCATAAAATTATCAGACCATGAGATGTAAAGATACAAAAGGCTTTTGAGAGGCAGTTACATTGTGTGTGTGTGTGTATTAGTATAAACTTGGTTTCCACAAAGCATGCACTAATTTATGCTTCTGGCTCCTGTAGTCTCAGTGTGGGTAAAAATTGGTTCTTGGTGGGGGGTGGAAAAAACCTTAGAAATTTTGTGGCTATCCAGTGGTTTCCAGTGCATAAACTGATGTACAGTATCTGCTTTTAACATTTCATGCGGAGGCCATAATGAGAAAAAGGTTGAGAAACACAGTTCTAGCTATATGTGAGCACCCATCTCACTCCACCCTTGGAAGCTTTTAAATTTGAGCTCTTGGTTTGGAATTTTAGAATAGTATTTTTCTGGTCTAAATGTTCTTGATTCTTTGTACAGACTTTAGGAACCTGAGAAAGGTTTGAATAAAATAAAATGTATCTGTTTCCCACTGTTCATATTTTTATCTTTCTACATTATTAGGAATCCTCCCTGTTTCTAGCTTTGTGTCCAGCTCTTTTCACGTTACTGTGATTGTAATATTTTCAGTGTTAGTCTGTGCCAAGGACCATGTTGAAATATCCTTTGTTGTCATGGTCTTAGGCAGGGACTCCCGCCGCCTCCATGCCTGGGAGTACATGTGTGTCCCCACAGGCATCAGCTTTGGACCTCTGGGAGCCCGGGCGCCAAGCTGCTCTGGGACTTACAGTAATTGTCCCTTGTTTGTTTCAGGTGTGATCCCCTGGGCCCGTTTGCTGTCGGGGGAGAGGACCTAGACCCCTTTGGGTGAGTACTGCTGGGGAGGTGGCAGCAACACGACTTGGTCTCGTGGCCTTTCAGCCCCAGCTCATCTTCTAATTTTAGAACTTTTCATCAGTCTTCCTTTGGGGTGAAGGAGGCATTTGTTGCCGAATGGCTGAGGAAGCACTGCCACTGTTCTGCTCTGCCATGCCTGGAGCAGTGCAAGAGGGCTCTGAATGTTGGGGAGCAACTGAGCAAGCCCAGTGGGCAGTTCCTCTGTTGTTTTCTGGCCATGCTTTCCCTGGTGGAACAATACCCCCAGGGGGGTCTGTCAGATGAAGACTGAAAAACACACAAGTGGGTTACAGACCTGAGGTCAGTTCAGGGCTCCAGAGGTCATGACCTCACTTGATAAGGGAGGGTCACTGATCCCCATTAGACCCTGGGGTGGTTCTTGTGAAGTCCTCAACAGAGTTATAGCCTCAGCTATGCATTGCACTGTCTTTGCCCAGTGCTTCTAGATTTTAGGCTCTGCTGCAAAGGGTGTCCCCAACTTGAGTGTTTCATTTTTAGACAGTGGGGAAAGAGTCTGAAGCTAAGCTTGAACAATTAAGCTTAACTTAATTTTTTAACTTAATACTTGTTCTTGAGCTGAAGTTAAGCTCAAACAAACTTTGACCTCAAAGTCTGGGGTAACATCACCTTCTTATTCATCCTAGTTTGAGCCATAAGGTCAGATCCATAGAACTCCATGAGGGATGGGTACTGTCAAGAGTCAGACTTGGACAATCAAGTCATAGAATGCTCAGAGACCCTTCAAGGAAACCACGAAAAACCCCAAATAAAAGCTTGGATTGTAAATTGTCTCAATTCATTAGCCCTTAGACCTAAAGCTGTGCCTAGAGGAGCCTTGTTCTGGTTCTGCATTCACCTTGACAAGTTCTGGCACATGTTCTTGATCAAATTGCGCCCCCCTCCTTGACTGCAGGACATAGCAGGGATCTCAGTGTTGTGGGGTCCTGGAGCTTGTAGAGCTGAAAGTGCAGGCCATGATGGCCAGAAAAGGTGTGCTTTTTGTGTTCTTTCTCTTGCCCACTTCCTGCTGGCACTCAGGCAACCATCCACGCACGTCTGCTTGAGCCATCCAGAGTTGATGTCCCAATCATTTTTACCTACATTCTCATCACCTTCACTTCTTCTCCAGCAGCTGCTTGCCACATCTGCTTACCTGTCATTCCTTCTTGCCTCAGGTGTCGGAGAGGTGGCATGATTGTGGATCCCCTGAGATCCGGCTTCCCAAGAGCACTTATTGACCCGTCATCAGGACTCCCAAACCGGCTTCCTCCAGGCGCTGTGCCCCCAGGAGCACGTTTTGACCCCTTTGGACCCATTGGGACCAGCCCGTCTGGGTAGGTATTCACTTAGGGGTGCTGAGAGGTAGGACCTGATGGTGGCTTAGCTCAGCATTGCAGGGATAAAGGCATCTGACACCAAGCGCAGAATTGCCAGTAGTCCCGGGCCTTGCTGCCAAGAGAGTGGAGCCTCCTCCAGGCCCTGCCTGGTACTCCCTGAAGCCTTCCATGAGCTTCCCATTCCTCAGTGGCTCCCTTCCCCAGCTTCCCTCCAGGAGGACTCAGAGGAGAGGTTGCAACACTCACATTTACTGGACTTCTTGTATGTACCAGGAACTTAATGGATTCTTATGTCAGCACTTGTGGATAGATATTTCACAGAGGCAGAAATCGAGGTCCTGAGTGATGAAGGAACTTGTCCAAGGTGGGAAAATCAGAATTCAGACCAACTCTAGAGCACATGGTCTTTAACTCCAAAACCACCACATCATTCTGGAGGCAGGCTCCCTCCATTCAGGATCCTGTCTACCTATGTGTCCCTGACTCTTCATCACCCCAACTCACCAGCCCCTCTTTCCATTCCAGACCTAACCCAGACCATCTGCCCCCGCCGGGCTACGATGACATGTACCTGTGAAGGCCTCAAGAATGTAACATCCCAGCCTTCCCTCCACTCTCCTGGAGCTGCCACCGTGGGCCCCACCAGCACCCATTTTCTTGTGGGCTGGGGTCAAAGGACTCTGTCCATGTGTTTGCAGGCCGGCTGGGATTGCCTCCCCACCCCCTACCAGAGCCAGGGCACCTGCTGCAGTTCTCCACCTGGCTGCATATAGGTCCCAAAGAGAAATCAGTGTGTGTCTTACCACCAGCTCCTCTCCACTTCCCAGGGGAGACTCCGGCAACATATGCCCTTGACCTGATGCAGTTCCAGCTGCATTGCTATAAGAACAGAACCCATTTTGGATGTTATTATTAAGAACCAAATGTCAATACAAAAATCATGTTGCCGGTCTCCCACTCTTCTTTACTGCACAGCTCCTTCCATGTATGAGACTTGAGAGTTTGAATCTTTAGGGGGCTAAAGGACTCTCTTAGGCATCTTCCTTTTATGAATTGCTCTCGCTCCTGATACCACTAAGATGGTCTGGCTGCATGGATGAAAATGAGTGACTGGAACCCCCATAAGCCGCAGGGATGACTTCCACAAGGCCAGGCGCATTGCAGAACGACTACATCACTCTGAAAAGGGCAAGACATTCCAGTTCTGCTTGTCTGAGCCTGTCCTCTGGGTCTGTCTGTGCCTGGGCAATGGCCGCCTACGAACAGAGGAATAAACAGAGCAGACCTGAAGGCTAATCTCTTTTTTGCCACTAACTTAACTGAATGACCCTATGTAAGTCCCTTCCCCTCCCAGGGCCATTGTGCCCACCTGTGAAATCCAAGGTGCCTTTCTTGCTGTAAAACAGCCTGGTGTCAGCTTCTATGCATGATGATCCCTAGTAACTGGGGCAAAAGGTAAAGAATGAAGGTTCAAGGCTTTGTGTGGTGCTTACCTACAGAGTTTGCAACTCTGGGCCTCTCACCCGCCGTGAGGCCCTGACATGAACATAGCAGCACAGTGCTAGACTTAGGGACAAGCAGGGAGCCTGGCCTCTGGAAGCCAGTGTGTGAGAAGGGTGAATGGAGGAGTTGGTGATGCAAGAAACAACCCAGAAAGGCATTCCACCCCCAGGGAGCCCCAGCCTCTGGAAGCCTGTGCCCTGTGTCCAGGCCCACCTGACCTTTGGTGTTCTCCAGATCCTTTTCAGCCCAAGGCCTGACAGATGTGGTCGGTGATGAACCCCTGTGCTGGAGTGGAAAGAGCACCCTAGAGCACCAGACTCAGAGGCAAGAAATGAAGGCACTAGTCACTTTCACTCCACCGCTAGCATTTCAGTCATGGGTGGTGCCTTTCATTTCTCAGCTCCTTGGATTCCTTTCTCTAAATTAGGAGATAGTATTTATCTGTGGGCAGAGGACTACCGGAGCCTTCCTAAGGCATCTGCTGACGTGCTATACAGCCTGGGAATACCTGTCTGCTGTGCCCAAGAGTGGGTTACAAGTAAACTAGACAGGCATATATGCCCAGGGTCAATGCAAGATGCCACCTGGGCGTAGGTGGGAGGCTAGGGCTTCCTGGGCATTTCTGGCAGGCCACATTTCAAGCAGTGATTTAGTGAAGGACCACTTTGAAGCTTTTAGAACAGCTCTGCTCTGGAAAAAGACCCAGAGGTCAGGCAGAGCTGCAAATGCAGTCATCAATGGACATCTTCCCCAAGAGCCAGCAAATGGGTGAGATGTTTGGAAGCTGGATCATACCTTCTACCAAAAGAACTTGAGGCAATTTGCTTATAAAAGCATCCTTTATTATAAAAAGCATTTAAAGGAACATCAGACAAGCAGGGGAAGTAGATAACTTTTAGGACCCTGATTCAGGGGAAGGACAAGAGTGAAACAATAAATTCACCACTTATATTTTCTAATAGTGAAATTGGAAAGGATAGTCAGAAGCATAATACTGTTTTCTGAAAACAGAAACTTCAGTGATTCATCTGCAGAATCAGTCATTTTTTGAGTGGGACTCCTTGCATCAAGGACACTGAGGAATGCAGACTGTGTCTTTAGTTCTTATGTGTGGGGAGGTGAATGGTATCTTTAGGAACTTCCAAGTCAGACTGTCAGTACGTGTTGTGTATCTAGGCCACTTCCCTCCTTCCAGCCATGAGTAATCACCAAGCAGCCAGAGGGAGTGATTCAGGTGTATGTTTTGTGGAACCTAGAAGTGTTAGAGCCTTAATAATAAATATCAGCACTTAATAACCTGTTCCTCCTTTTTAAAAATAACAGCTTTATTGAGATACAGTTCACATACGCATAAAGTTCATGTTTTTTAAAGTGTACAATTCAGTGTTTTTAGTACATTCACAGTGTTGTGCACCCATCACCATATCTGAGTTCTGCACATTTCATCATCCCAAAAGAAACCTCATACCCATTAACAGTCACCCTCCATTCCCTTCTCCCAGCCCCAAGTAACCACTCGTCTGTTTTCTGTCTCTAAAGATATGCCTATTCTGGACAGTTCTTACACGTGGAATCACACAATATGTGGTCTTTCATGTTTGGTTTCTTTCAGTTAACGTTTGCAGGGTCCATCCATGCTGTACCGTGTATCAGTAATTCATTCATTTTAATGGCTGAATAATATTCCACATTTTCTTTATCCATTTATCAGTTGATGGACAGGTTGTTCCAACTTTTTGGCTATTATGAATAAGGCTGCTATGAACATTTATGTACAAGTTTTTGTTTGGTCATATGTTTCCAGTCTCTTGGAGTGGAATTGTGGGATCATATGGTAACTCTGTGTTTAATTTTTGAGGAACTGCCAGACTGTTTCCCAAAGTGACCATGCCATTTGATATTCCCATTAGCAGAGTATGAGGGGCCTGACCCATCTCCTCACCAGTACTTGTTAGTCTTTTTATGTATAGTTATCCTAGTGGGTGTAAAGTGGTATCTCATTGTGGTTTTGTCCTCTCTTAAAAAAACAAGGAATTCTGACCTAGGTCAAACAAGACAGAGACCGAAGACTGTGGCTTTGGTAATAGCCACCTTGGGATGACTGGTGAGATGCAGAGGAGTTAAAGTTTGACTTTTGGGTAAGTTTCAGGGCTGGATGTGATTCAGGAGAAAGGTCCTGTCTATAGGGAAGTTACCATGACCTTTCCAGGTCTGGTGAGACCTGGAAACAAGCACTTTTGCTTGTTTTGAAATATTTGTGTTGACCCAGTGGCTTACAAGTAAAATAAACATCAGTTCTAAATGTTTGTCTTTTGAAGTGACATAGACCACATGTACCATCTCTGGCAGTCTCCTCATCTCCAACTCCTCTTCCTTGCCTTGTGTCGTTCCTTATTCTTAGAGCTGGATGTGTTTTTCATTGCATTGCATTTATCTGCTCATCGTGAGCTGTCAGCCTCCATGGTGAAGTCACTGGTCTCAAGACCCTAACTCCAAGCAGGCATTATGTTCAAAACAGATTTTATATTCCTGTGCTGGATGGCTAGTACCTGTTGACATGCAGTTAGAAATTGGGTAGCAAGCCCTATAATAACAACTTCATTTTTTGAAATCCAGATTCCTTCATAGCTTCCCTTTCTACTCATTAATGACATTCTATTACTGATCCTTGCCTCTTCACAGAAGAAAAATTAGAGTCTGTGGAGCAGTTACTGTCTGTCACCTTGTAACCTTGTCTACTTTGGGCAGTTCCAATGAGACAGGTCCCACCACCAAGGAGATGAAAGATCCCTCACATATATATCCTCAGCTTTGTCTGATATAAAACTTACATTCTTAAGGCCCGCTGTTGACTTTTTGCACCAAAAGAGAGATTCAAGGGGCGGCATCCAAGCCCCCAGCCCCTGTTTGTCCTTGGGATACCCTAAGTCTCCAGCTGTGCCGAGCCCTGAGCCTCACCCAGAGGGTAGGTCACAAGTAGGAGTGGCAGGCAGTGAGGATGGTGGCTATAGAGGAGTGCAAGACCCAGGTGACCAAGGATACTAGGGTGCAGAGAGCAGCAGTGACATGAGGCTTGCCCCACTAGTTTCAGGGCCAGGTGGCAGGTACAAAGTGGAAGGCCCAACCTCAGACTTTGGATGACCGTGGGAAAGGCCAGGTTCCATACTAACCACATAGGGTGAGTGTTGTGTGACAGGGTTCTGAAAGAGGAGAGACAGGGAGGGCTGCAGGGAGCAGAAACTACTTTAGCTTTTTGAAACAAGAAGGTTTGAATGTAGGCAGCAGCAAGATCACATCACCATTGTCTTGATCTGGGGATCAGGAAACTGCAGAGCCACACAGCAACTGCCTGGATCTGTGCCCGAAAGGAATGCCCCTTGTGCTGCCACCTTGACCACCTCCCCCCCCACTTCCTCTCACCTCAGTTCCAAGTGCAAGGCTTGGCTGCCTTCATCTGACAGCTGGAACCTACATCAACTCTTAAACCATAGCTGCAAAGGAGCCTGGGAAATGGCCTTTTCCCCCTTTTCCTGCTTGTCCCAGGAAGGCACGTTTGGGACAGAGGTCTGACAAGCCAGTCTCCTGTGTATTAACATCCCTATAGCATGGGCCTTGATAGAGATGAGCACCACAGCCAGGCTTCTACAGCTTGCCCAAGCCTCTCAGTCTCTCCTGAAATGCTTGAAGGACACAGTACATCTTGGGCCCCAACCCAGACCTGGATCCAAATCACTAGGGAAGGGCCCTTAAGTCCATTTTCTATAAGTTCCTCAGGTGATTCATCTGACAGACCAGTTTGAGAATTCCTGAGAAGCGAAGGGAAGGCTATACACATCCTTGCTACTCAAACCAGCAGCATCACCTAGAAACTTGTTAAAAATGTGGAATCTCGGGCCCCACCCAGGCCTATTAAATGAGAATCTGCACTTTATCAAGTTGTCCAAGTGGTTTGTGTGCACTTTAAAGTCTGAAACTCTAGTGTACAAACCTTAAATCTTCTCTGTTTACCTGAGTAGCAGGTGAAAAGAATCATCAGTCTTGGTTGATGACATACTATGACTAATGCAAGAACCT